AAGGAATGGGCTAAGGGGAAAGAAAGGGGTAGCATGCGTTGGGAAAGAGATCCTCCTTGTTTGGCACTTCAGTGGGTGGATAACAAAGTAGTTGCAATGTTAACAACTATAGATAGAGCTAATGATCATGGTCTGGTCAACAGGAAAACAAAGACAGATGGTGTGTGGAACACAAGGGAAGTATCACAACCTAAAGTTATAGCTAATTACAATAAGTTTATGAGTGGGGTTGACCGATCTGATCAAATTCTAACTACAAATAGTGCACTACGTAAGTCCATGAAGTGGTGGAAAACTTTGTTTTACCACCTAATTGACATGGCTGTAGTTAATGGTTTTATTCTTTTTAAAGAGCATCAGGCTCAATTTCCTGACGATGATGCTCTTAAAAGGCCCTCCCATTATTCTTTGGCTGATTTCCGGGTAGAAATTATTAGAAAAATCTGTGGTTTCCCTGATTATGGTAGTCCACCTGCAAATACCACAGTGGAATCACCCCCTCCTGCCCCAGAGGAGTTTATATCTGTCCATATCCCAGTTTTCTCTAGTACTCAGAGACGATGTGTGGTATGTTATAAAGAAGGTAAGGGAGATTTTAGGGTTCGATCTTATTGTGATGCCCCTCAATGTCAGAAGTATATGCATGTTAGTAAGGGTTGGGATTGTTTTGCAGTGTTTCATTCTAAGAAGTACCATCACTAAATTTTGGGTGTACCATATTTCCTATACTTAGAACATTTTGCTAATATTTTTTCCAATGTTTTCAGACATTGTGTTTCTCAAAAATATCAAAAAAAATAAATAAACAAAACAAAACAAAAAAATTTTAAAAAATCATATTTTGTTATACCTTGTTGCTTTTATCTAATGTCAGTGGAAATAGTTGTGATTCAGTTCTAGTTTTCTCATAGAGGCCTCCTAATAGTTAGAAACGTGACTCCTGTGGAGATGTTTGTCCGACAGAACCCTGGTGTCATGCCGCGAAAAATCTGCCCTTGGTTTCAAGAAATCAAAAGATCGCCAAACTGTCCTTGGTTGTAGTAATGCCACAGGAACCCATAAACCGAAACCAGTTGTGATTGTAAAATTTGCGACGCCACGATGTTTTAAACGTAAACATGGTTGCGCTCCCTGTCATTTACAAGTCTCAAAGAAACGTTTGGATGAACTCAGAGATTTTTGCTGAGTGGTTCAAGAAAGATTTCGTCCCAGTTGTTAAACGCCACCAACGTGCACCAAACATTCGTTCGACTAAAGTGTTGTTGCTGATGGACAACTGTTCTGCTCATCCTGAAGAGATGAAAACCCGCGATTGGTCTGTTACCTGTATATTTCTCTTCCAAACACAACTTCGCCGATTCAGTCAATGGATCAAAGCGTCTCACAAGCAATGAAGAACCGCTACAGTAGTGAACTCCTTCAAAAAGTGATTTGCAGTCACTACTTGATCCAATACAAAACATTGAGGAAATTTTAAAGCAACATACTGTGAAAAATGCGCTCTACCTACTTGCTGATACGTTGGACAGTCTTCTTATTTATTGTTAACTACTGCATTGAAAAAAAAAACGATTTTCCCTTATATAAGTAGACTCTATTGACATCTGCTAATCACCATTCCCCGCCTCCCCCCTCCCCCCGTTTTATCCCACGACCACGACACTTAAGCTGTCTGAGCAATAACAATATTAACCATTTTACTCCCGAGATCTCATTAGTAATTCTCCTTAATGTCTGCAATTCAGTTCTCTAGTTGTTTGGGTGGAGAATTTGGTATTGGATCAGCTAACCATCCCTTGATTGATATTTTTCTTTATTCTCATCACTTGTCCACTTGATATTTCATTGATGTTGTTAAGGAGAAATTCTGTTTTGGTCACTCGTGGGAGTTAAAGAGTTAATAGTCACATCTTTTCACTAATCTTCGACAGCTCGTAATAACTTCGGTTTTCTGTATTTTTGTGTGGAAGGGCCCGAGTTTTAAATTTGGTCACGGTCGTCGTTTATCTTCCAAAGAGGCATTTCCAGCGCACAAGCGCTGGTCATCTAATTGAATCAATCAGCCAATGATCTTTAACTGCTCTCACGGCTCGTTTTCACATCAGAACGTAAACAATCGAAGCAATTCATAATAGTGTTCGATTTGCGCCTAAACTTGAGTTTGCTTTTGTTCAACGATACTTAAAATTCTAAAAATAATTTCAAGACGAAAACTGGCAAGTTAAAGGTAAGGAGCGATTGTAAATCCCGAGTTAAAGGCGAGGAGCAATTGTAAACCCCGAGCCAAAGGCAAGGAGCGATTGTAAATCCCGAGGTAGGACGAGGAGAGATTGTAAATCCCGAGGTATTTTAGGTCTCACTTCGTGAGATTTCTCACGAAGTGACTGCCAGATAGTCACGGAACACTTACAAAAGCATACTTGTTCTTGCGTTACTCTATTTAGTAACACCCCTAAAATAAAGCCAAGCCGAGTGAAGGTCATTTGTCTCCTGCTTCAAGCCTAAACTTGCTTGTCTTTCAAAACTTTATGGAAGGAAGGAGATACTAAACTTGCTTCAAAGACTCGCTGTATCGTCTTGGAGCCAAGTTTAGTCAGAAGGACATAACGCGGGCGTTTTGTTATTTCTTTTGTTGTCGTCGCTCAGATTCAAATAACACTACTTTGTTCAATCTATTAATCAGAATATTCGCAAAACACACCTTAAACTCGCCATACTTGTATCTCAGCCATAGTTTTCGGAATTTATCTACATTTTTCTTTACGTCATTGTTTGAACGCTGAAAGTAGTTTGAAATAACTTTGAACACTTCTGCAAAGTAAGCGTAGTCGGCGACGATCACAAACAGATCAACTTCTGGTTCTCTCTCGTAAAATGCTCTGAGGCAATAAATAAGAAAACGACTCTTAAGTCGTGCCCAGGGTCTCATTATTTCTCTTAGAGGGAGAGGACACGGCCCAGTCTTTGCGTGCCCACTCCTGTCTCTTTATCCTCTCAAAAGTGGCTCTAATAGGGTCCAAGGGGGGCTTTACCATTCTTGGAACTCTGCAAGACTAAGATGGGACGATGAGTCATTAACCCTCTAACTCTCAGATCAAATTTGTAATTCTCCTTACAGTCAACCATACAATTCGTAAAATGTTACTTCAGAGAATTTAGTGTTGGATCAAACGTAGTTACTATCCTCAAATTGATGTTTTTCTTTATTCTCATCACTTATCTGGTTGATATTGTATTGACATTGTAAGGAGAAATTCTGTCTTGGTCACTCATGGGAGTTAAAGGGTTAACTTAGACAACTTATACCACGGCGCGCAGAAAAAAGTAGCCTGGCCGCGAGCACGATTTTGCGTTACATCGTTTTCAATTTGAAGCAGTGAACATGGAGATAAATACGAAATGCAGGCGATGATCTTTTTAAACTATTGATTTCCTCATGCAGTAGGCGTTTGCGAAAGAAATCCACTATTCAGCGATTCAATTTCAAATAAGGTTGTTTGGAAAAGGAGCTATCGTGCTATGGCTAAGAAACTTTATTTTGCCATCATTTGGCGTCGGAGAAAAATAAGATCTTGTGTATTTGTGACCATAAAACAACGGATATTATTATAGAAGTATATATTACCTACCAAATCAACAGCAAGCAGATTTATATTTAATTTAATAGTTATAACATAAATCAGCCGATCAGAGGTTAATGACAATTTCCTGCTATAACGTTTGGTCGCAATTAGTGTTAAAATTCTTTCTTTACTTTAAATTTGTTAAGGTATCAATAATTTCAGAGTAAGCTTTCCGAACGTTTTGAGTAACAGTAACACAGTCACCTAGCTAATTCTAGCCTGCGTTGCTGATGGTCTGCGGTTTTCTCTCCGCCCTAAAAACCGCAGACTGTTAGCAACGCAGGCTAAACCTTTCCTCATTAACCCTTTTGTAATGTTTTTATGTTAACATCAAGGTCAAGGTCGTTACGCGTTCGTCCTTTATTTGAGTTTATCGGTTTTTTTTCCACGTCCATTTTTGTCTTCCTAAACATTTGAGTTTATCGGCTACTTCTCACTTTTTCGCGCCAGGTTTTTCCTTTAAACAGGAGAAGACATCCTTTATAACCATTTTGCCTCATCATAGGACGATTTGCTGTGATATTCCTAAACAATTTTACCTGAAATTAGCTCAAAAATTTTTTTTTGTTTTCCAAAATGGATCAACTATTCGACTTTACACTGACGATCGTTTTTACCGAAAAATTTTTTAAACGTTCGCGCCAGGTTCTAAATAGAAATCTCAGTTTCCATGGCAACAAAAACAACTTACTTGTTTACCAGCCTGTTTGGAGCTCAAAATATGTCAAACAAGCCCGAAACGCCCTTTAGAATCCTTTGCTGTCTTACATGAAGGGGATTTACACAAATGCGAAGAAGGTGAGAAAAATATCACACATCATAAATATGCTTTTCAGCCCCTTGAACCTAAAGAAAACGATAGTTAGAATTATTTGCAGAAAAGGAGTTTTATTATTGTTTAATCATTTTTTCTGATCTTTCTTCACTGCAACACTTTGTACACATTTATGGAGGTGTGAACTAATGCTCCAACATTGTGGTTCTGTTTGGTTCAGTAACTATAGCTAATAGCATCCTTTTCCGTCATGTTTTTAATATAGGAGACCTTACTATTGAAGAAAATACCGCTAGCCGTTATGGACTGATGTCAGATCTCTCCATTCACTGCAATTCTTTGTGATGAAAGTACTCCTTGGCAGACATCACCCAACCTTGCCAAGAAAGGCAAATCATTTGATGTCAACCGGAGAGCTGTCTACCACTCAATAGAAACTGGAAGTGGCTACGACGGACTCTCTTCTTTCTGTGCGATAATGAACATGCCTTGTTTGTCAAGAGCTGCTTACTACAAAGCAAGTTGATGTAATTTTGGAAGCACTGGAAAGTGAAGCAAAAAGAAGAACTAAAAGGTGCAGGCCAAAGGTCTCAAAGCTAATCATGGAGGAAAATGGCATCTCAGACAGCACCACAATAATTGATGCTGCTGTTAGCTTTGATGGCACTTGGGCCAAAAGAGGTTTCACATCACTAACAGGTGTTGTTTTCGTCATCTCAATTGACACAGGAGAAGTTTTAGACTATCACGTGATGTCTAAATCTTGCCGTAAGTGCTCCCTAAAGAACTCACAATGTGAAGGGAATGTGGAAGAGTTTGAAGAATGGAGGAGGGAGCATGTTGCATCTGGAGATTGTGACATCAATCAAGGAAGTTCACCTGCTATGGAAGCAGAAGGAGCTTCTGTTCTTTGGAATAGATCCATCGAACTTCATAACATGAGGTACAAAATGGATGGTGTCAGACGGGGACAGTAAGGCCTTTAACACTGTTCAACATGCCTATGATGACTGTGAAGTTATTAAACTGGATTGTGTAGGCCATGTGCAGAAAAGGATGGGCAAACATTTAATGAATTTGAAGGCATGCAGTAAGGGTAAACTTGCTGATGGAAAACCTATAGGAGGGCGTGGCCGCTTACAGAAGGAAAGATCAAGCAGCTTCAAAGGTACTATGGCCTAGCAATCCGCAAAACACCTTGACCAAGGCAAATCCTCTGAACGGGAGGTTGACATTGCAGTTTATGCTATGAAAAAAATATTATTGCCATTCTCCATCACTGTGTAAATTCAACTGACAATGCTAAACAACACCGCTTCTGTCCACCAGGTGATTCATCATGGTGCAAATGGCAACAGGACCAGGCAACAGGAACCAGTACCTACAAAGGAGATGACTGTTTGTTCAAGTCTTCGTGGAGACTCTAAAACCCACATTTGTGTCATTTGACAGTAAACTTTAGAAAGATGTTCAAAATTTGAAATACAGCAATGGTTTGGGTCCGTGTCCCAAACATAAACACCATTGAAAAAGTCTGCAGTCTGCCACTTCCACAGAGGTGCAGAAAGCAGAGAAAGATTGATGGAAAGGCTTTCAATTCCTGGAGGTGCATTTACTGAGGATGCATTTCGACTAAGAGATAATTCAACGAAAGCTTTAGGATTGCAGCTTATCCGTACTCAAAGAGAAGCGGCTCTTCGTGAAAAAGAAGATGTTTCATATGAAGCTGGGGCATTCTAACTCTTGCTCTTGCCTATCCTAATTATATTTGAACTTATGGCTACTCATTGACTTCATAATTTGAATACAGGAGGTGTTTAATTTTAAAATCTTGTAACTTTAGGCCTTTTTTTCTCAAAACGTATTTTTTAATACTTGAGAAAAGATTACTCAAGAAGTATGAGAGCTATGGACCTGAAATTTTTAGGGATTGCTGATCTAATTGAGTTATTTGGGATGAGTGAAGGAAAATGCCATAGAGGTCTTTCTAAAGAAATGATTAAACAAATAGTGATCATGTGTTAGATGTGTAACTTGACACCAGTGCTGTGATGTCAAATTTAAAAAATTCTTGAAATCCTTCACTCATCCCAACAAGTATTCAATATTCTTTAGAATAACAGCAAAATATTGGTATTTCATTGAAACAGTTTCTAACAATCTTTACTCAAGTACATATAGGTGAGACACTACAAGTTGTTAATTGAAATGACCGGTGTCAGGTTACATTTGCTGCAGGTGTGACATAACACCTTTTTTTGAAAAATATAGTTCATAAGCTTTCCAGTGATATATAGTTTTAGATAGTTGTGACCAAAACTTAAATTCCTACAATTATTTGAAAAAATGCACTTTTTTTAGGTAGAATCCCCCCTTAAACTTATTGATCAGTTCAGGCACTCAATCCTTAAACCTGTATTTCATTCTCTTCTCTTCGATCTCAAAACGTATTTGATTTTGATCCAATTTGGTCGTCAAAACTCAGAGTGCTCTGTGTTTTGTTCTCCACTTAGTTTACTTCAAGGATGCGCTTAGTTTTTCTTTCAAATTATTCAAACAGGCTATTTTTGTGAGCCTGAGATGTTGAAAGTTATTCAATATTTGTGTAATCCGTTGGCTCGGTGACCTTATTTGTCAGTCGTAGAATCTTATATGGTTGTTCTCGAGAAAAGCCGGGACGCGAGGATTCTTGGAACCTCAGTTCGCTTTAAGAGTGCTCTTTGATTTTCTATCAAATTATACAAACAGGCTAAAGTTCTTGTGACCCTATCAGCCAAGTATTGTTCGATGTTTCGGTTACCTGCGGGCTTTTGTTAATAACCTTATTTTTGTAAGTCGCTATCAAACAACACGGTTATCGAGAAAAGGACGCGAGGTTGTTGGAACCTTGCTTCGCTTTCGAATTATACAAACAGCAGGCTAAAGTTTCTGTGACCCTATAAGCCAAGTACTGTTCAATATTTTGGTGATCTGTAGGCTTTTGCTTTTAACCTTATTTTTGTCAGTCGTTATCAAACAACGCAATTATTGAGAAAAGGACGCGAGGATTCTTGGAAAAAGAAAAAAAATCTTAAAACAAGTTATAGAACAAAGATTCGTTTAAAAAATGCTTCGGAATTAGCTTAAAACTGTCCAAGCCCCTTTAAAAACTATTTCTTCTTGATGACGAGCGAAAGTAGTTCGTGCTATCGATATCGATAATAGAATATTACTCCATTTTCGCCTTCAAAGTCGGCTCAAACTTCTCCAAACGTCGATCGCGTATCGTACTATAATAAAGCTTCTATTTTAACCAGTGTTATTTAACACGTAACAGCGACAACTAGTGAAGACCTTAACAAATGTAAACCGAATTTTTTCGACTTACCGAAGATACTAAAGAATACAAAACAGACGGCATATGCTTTTGAGACTCTCGTGGTGCGTTGCATAGCATATGTTTGCAGAATTTCTTTAGCAACTCAGAATGCCTGTGATGTCCTGTTAGATGTTAATCGGCAAATCAGTTGCTCAACAAACTTACCTTGAAAGTTAATGCAAATTCTCGTTTCTTATTATATTGGCAGGTTTCAGTCTCAAAGTCTTTCGTGAAGATGTCTGACAACCACTCCGCTATCTCAGACGGTCTTGAAGAAGACAGTGTGAGTTACCCTAGCGATGCGGTGCATTATAGTGCGTAACACGAGAAACTAGTGCTCAGGCTCCGCACTGCATCTTTTATTTTGTTCTTTTTGTTCTTTGGTATTTTGTGACTCAATTGAAAGTTTCCTAGCAAGTTTTGGAGACAATTAATAGTACTATGGTCATTGTAGGGATGGATACAAAAATGACGATTCTATCATCAAAGTCTGTAAGGAAAAGTTATTTCCCATTCCATCTTGCCTCAACAATTTTAATACATTGGAACAGTTAATGTTTTTGGTTTTTCGTATCGGCCACAGTTTTTATATGAATTGTTGCGGGGCAAAGAATAACAGCAAACATTCCGGAAAAAAGGCTAAGAAAAAAAAAGGAACACTAAAACATCCATCTATCGATATCGATAATAGTATATTACTCCATTTTCGCCTTCAAAGTCGGCTCAAACTTCTCCAAACGTCGATCGCGTATCGTACTATAATAAAGCTTCTATTTTAACCAGTGTTATTCAACTCGCAACAGCGACAACTAGTGAAGACCTGAACAAATGTAAATGGACTTACCAAAGTTAAAGAATACACAACAGACATATGCTTTTTGCATGGTGCGTTGCATAGCATATGTTTGCAGAATTTCTTTAGCAACTCAGAATGCCTGTGATGTCCTGTTAGATTTTAATCGGCAAATCAGTTGCTCTAGTAAATTTCATCAACAAACTTACCTTGAAAGTTAATGCAAATTCTTGTTTATTATTATATTGGCAGGTTTCAGTCTCAAAGTCTTTCGTGAAGGTGTCTGACAACCACTCCGCTATCTCAGACGGTCTTGAAGAAGGCAGTATGAGTTACCTTAGCGATGCGGTGCATTATAGTGCGTAACACGAGAAACTAGTGCTCAGGCTCCGCACTGCATCTTCTATTTTGTTTCCTTTTATTCTTTGGTATTTTGTGACTCAATTGACAGTTTCCTTGCAAGTTTTGGAGACAATTAATAGTACTATGGTCATTTTAGGGATGGATACAAAATCGACGATTCTATCATCATGGTCTGTAAGGAAAAGTGGTTTTCCATTTCATCTTGCCTAAACAATTTTAATACATTGGAACAGTTAGTGCTTTTTGGTTTTTCGTATCGGCCTCAGTTTTCATATGAGTTGTTGCGGGGCAAAGAATAACAGTAAACATTCCGGAAAAAAGGCTAAGAAAAAATGAACACTGAAAATATCAAACGCTCTTACGAGCGCTACTTGTAGTCAAGCTCTTATACTTATGTCTTGATCATATCGTGTTGTACGCATTCAATCACTCACGTGTGCCACGAGTGTAAATCGATGATAACAAAAAATCAGCCGAGGGACCTGACAAATTCATACGCCGAATTCTAGTTTTAGGTTATCCCAAACCAAAGGTATGAAATTCGTCTGGTCAAAGATCATGCTAAGAACTGTTAGGGCAGCCAGAGTACAACGAACTTAAATACATTTCTCTGTTATCTAATGCTGTATTTGTTGTTTGTTTGTTTGTTTGTTCTTTAGCTGACTTGCTTGTTTTTAGTATATCTAAAGACCATGAACGAAGCAGTTTAACTCTAGTTAGAATAAGAGGAGGGGGAGAGTGGAAGGATTTTAGGGGAACACAACCTTTTCAGCGGGAACGGAGCGGGTATCATTCTTTCCTCGAAAACTATGAAGGGGGGACTATAGACAATTGTCTGTCACCGCAGGGGGGTTCATTAGAACTCTACAGAGCCTTTCGGGGGAGAAATCAGGTAAACTTTATTATGACACAACCAAAATCCTCCTGTCCCCCCCATTCCCCCAGGCGATAAATACTGGTCGGTCTCATAGAAGTTAGAAGCTTGATAGAAAACAGGCACAAGTAGGCACAGAGAATAAACAGATTTAAGAGGGCCTTGTTTGCTCTTCAATATTGTATAATACGGAAATTAAATAAGGAAGGACTCAAGGAAGGCTTTCTTCTATCAAAGTTCTTAAACGCCTGCTAAATACTTTTGTCCATCTTTACCCGTAAAATTCAGGCACGGAAACAAAAACTCTACAACCCTTTGCTTTTGGGTGGTGTTACTAATAACACAAATTAAAGAAAAATCACAAAAGACGTTTTTAAAGTTTAATTCATCAGTCCTCTGTATTAAATAGAGCTAAATAGTTTCATTTTACTCAGAAACTTAATCTGCAGATGCTTGAAACTTATCTTATCTTGTAACAAAAAAAAAACGCTTGGATCTCTAACAAGCCCACATATAACATGCAATCTACCTGAACTCATCACTCAGCAACTTTATCTGCAGATGCTTGAAACTCGTCTTATCTTGTAAAAAAAAACACTTGGAGCTATTTGCAATCTATCTGAACCTTTTTTCTATGGAATATTCTATTTCAGAAACGTGGCATGAACCTTTTAAGTATACAGAGTTCATTTCCGTTAATAGATTATATGTTCAAAGTGTAACCGATTGATATTTTTAATGTCAAGTAGTTTCTCTCTTTTCACTCTTTTGGCCACCTTGTGATCATTTCTTCATGCCTTCTGGTCTAGCTTAAGTGGGTCGGGAAGTTGGGTAAGACTTCTTAAAATACTTCGTTAGCCAGCCGAAGAATGTTTGGTACTTTTTACCAGATTTAGCACCGGTCAGCTCACCGATGAGTTGCCCTGATACACCGCCAAACACATCCCTAATGATTTCTTCAGAGTACGTTTCATTCACCTTGATGGAGGGACCTGACACCTTTGCATCTTGGCCAGGCTCGTCGGACGTCCCGCCTTTCTGGAAACAACGGTTCAATTTTTCGTCAAAGTCGCTCTCTTTCAATTTTTTTTTGAGCTCTGTGATTGCATTCCTGTCTTCGGTGGATAAATTACCGAACTGGCCAAGACTGACAACGTTGCCATCTTTCCTTACTTTGATTTCTTCGTTTCCGTCACTAAGGGTGGAAGAAAATGAAATACGATCAACAGTTACCATCAGGAAAGCAGCTTTTGCGTTCTTGTTGATACGTTTGAAAGCTGAGATCCAAAATGCTGTTAACCAGTCTTCTCTATCTGGAAGTCTTGGATCATCCAACTCTCCGGCTGGCGTAAATGGCACATTAGCCGCTGTAATATCAGGTACTCCGATAGCAACCAAATGTTTGTTTATCGCTTTCTTGAAAGCTAAAACGCGGTCATTGAAAGCGGTTGCTTCAGGTACGTCATCTGTCTTCTTGGTTGGCGATAGTGGGACTTCGTTGGCAAAGGTTAAAACCACAAGAGCATGTTCCCAAAGTTTCTCCCCAAGGCTTCTGTAAGCTTCTTTATCGTTTCCAAGTCGTCGGTGCGGAATCGCTTACTGGTCATCTCAGTGCAGAAGAGAAACAAGTCGAAGTGGGTCACTCTCTCCTTGATTTTCCGCAGATATTCTTCATCATTGCCGGTTGCGTCTGCAAGTCCTGGAGTGTCGAACACTGTGATAGTTACGCCGTTTTTGACAACTTCATAAGCAGTTACCTGAGGGACATAAAACAGGAAATGATTACTACTTCTAACTCTAACAGAGATTTCATTATGATATGGCTTGGTATGTTACCTCAGTTACGCGAGAAAAATGCATGAAAACGTTTTATTCATATAAAGCCCTGTCCGTCTAAAAGACGTTGAAAAGAAGTATTTTCTTATCCTTAGAGTAATTTTGTACCTAATACCTGTAGAGTATTTCAAGTATTAAAGATGAGAATTTCCGGAAGAAAAAAAGGGAACAGATGGATTCTAGACATGCATGGACGCGAGATATTATCCCTTTTCCTATCCACAAGTAATGCACAGTAACCCGTTAATGAAAGCACCTCATAATAGTTTAAAAGGTGAAGTAATTGTCGATATCAAAGTAGCTTACGTCATCAGTTTGTGGGTCGATGTCATATCCTTCTGCTGCAACGTTTTCTCCAATGAGCGCATTTGTCAAATAAGACTTGCCAACTCCTGTCTTGCCACTCAGGAGGATATTAACTGTCTGGCCACCGGAACTGACAAATTCTTCGATCTGATACTCCAAGTTTTTTTGCACCAAATATAATCTGACAAACTTCAGTTGCCGAGGCATCAGAACTTTTCTCTGAGGTCCCTTCCTGTGCCATTCTTGATAACAAACTTTGAAAAAAATAATTTTTATTAATATAAGAGGAAGAAAATAAAACATGTGTAAATTGACCAAACCATTGCGGATAGAAAATTATTAAGAAATATTTAGTAAGCATTGTCAAAATAATAATCTGCTGTTTGTTTTTCTCAATCAAAAGATTATGACGTCAACATAAATGCTTTTCGAAGAGCATCTGGCATCAATTGGATCATTAAGTGATCTTGCTCACACGTGCTTCATTCGTGTTGCAGCCTTTAAAGAGTTGATTTGTTGAAACAGTTTTGAGTCATCTATGAAGACGTAAGTAGGTAGTTTTTGATTACGACGAGAAATCAAAATTCGGCTGCTAATACTCTGATCTTCAGGTGTTTTATTTCCATGCGGGATCAGTCGCCCGACTACTGGTTATGTGCTACGTGGCAGAAGAGTAGAATGCAAGAAAATTTACTTCGCCGAGAAAATTTTTGATAAATCTTAACTGTGCTTGCGCTTAATTCTCCTCAGTCGATTTGCTGTAGTACTGACATATTAATATATCGATCAGTTCAGGCATTCAAACCTTCCATCTAAAAATATTGATCAAATTCGGTGGTCAATACTCTAAGTGCCTTGTGTTTTATTTTCTATTTAATTTACTTTAGGGAGCGCTTAGTTTTTCTTTCAAATACTTTGAGTGCTCTGTGTTTTGTTCTCTATTTAGTTTACTTAAAGGTGCGCTTAGTTCTTCTTTCAAATTATACAAACGGGCTATTTTTGTGACCGTAAGATGTTAAATGTTGGTCAATACTTTGGTTATCCGTCAGCTTACGTTAGCCGGCTAATTTACAATTCAGTGTCCGCATTCAAATACATACTTTGCTTTAAGGATATAGAAAAAGATTTTAGACGATATTTGGAGTAGAGTAAGGAGAGGACGTTGTTCGATTGGCATCGCGCTTACGAAACGAAACGAAACGATGTCAAACAAAACGAAACGAAATCGAAACGAAATCGAATCGAAACGAAACCAAACGAAATGTCAGTCGTGGGATCGTTTCTACTTACATTTAATTGTAGACAGTACCACGGTTGTCTAAAAAAGTTGGATAATTTGCCGCAGAATCTCAAGGTTTTACAAATTTCTTTAAGAGATACTTACGGTGCACCTGCGAAGAAAGAGCGAATTATTTCTCAGTCGAAAGGATCGCTACAGGAAACATAACTAACTTTAATTTATTTGAAAGTATTTTAGTGATCTGTTACCTTTTGTCGGCAAACTTATCTGTCAGTCTTTAATCAAACAAAGCTGGTATAGAGAATAGGAAGCGAGGATTCTTGAAAAAATCGAGGACGCGAGGATTCTTGGAAAAAGAAGAAACATCTTACAACAAATTATCCAACAAAGATTCCTTCAAAAAAATGTTTCGGAATTAGCTTAAAACTGTCTAAACCCCGTTAAAAACTATGTCTTCTTAATGTCGAGCGAGAGTAGATCTTGCTATCGATATCGGTCATAATATATTACTCGACTTTTGCCAGCAAAATCGGCTCGAACTTCTTCAATCGTGGATCGTTTCGCGCACAAAGATAAAGCTACTATTTTGACCAGTGATGTTTAATTCGTAACGGCGACAACTAGCGAAGACCTGAACAAATGTACACCGGATTTTGTCGACGTATCGAAAGATACCACGAATACACGACAGACGGCATGGGAAAGCATGGGACGGCATCGAAAGACACTTTTTTTTATAAAGATAATTTTGGTGAAAATGCTCACTGCAGCTACTGCGCGGCTGTTGTTGGTCAAACCTCCTTGTTTCTTTGTAATAACTTTTATTATGTCTGTATTTTGTATCAGAAATATAATAAGTTAAAAATTGAAATTAAAACTAAAAAAAAAAGACCGCGACGGCGACGAAAACGATGACTTGGCCGTGGCAAAACAACTATGAAAGGTTTATTTGGGCAGAACATTAGCTCAGCGCTTCCCTTTTAAACTGTTTTATTTCTTATCCGGCCTCTGCAAAATAGAGACCTTAAGCAGTCAGGGAGCTACGCCAGGGAAGACGTCGATTAAAAAGAAATTTCTATTTTTAGTTAGAATTTCGGAAATGGCTGGATGTGTTTACTGTTTACAAAGCCACTCCATAACTTCAGCACAAAATATGTTGGCAGCTTTGAGTTGCAAATGGAAATTAACATAATTTATCGTTCCCCTTTTCCTTTCGCAGACCATGCAAATTTTGGTGATTTCACGTTCAAGTTGTTTTGCAGAGCAAGCCTGAGAAATGTACAAAGCTTTAAAACGCACGAGCTGAGCAATCGTTCTGCCTATTAGATCTTTTGTTTTGCCACGTCCTCGCTGTCGTCGTCGTTTGCTTTAAGTCGCAGATAACAACGTGAAATCATCAAAGTCTGCGTGTTCCGAGAAAAGAAACGTCAACGGCAAATTTTTAACTTTCCACGCCGCTCTCATACGTCATGCTGACTTGCGTCGCCATAAAAGATGGTGAGCACATCCAGTCATTCGCGAAATTTCAAATGAAAATATATATTCATTTTTAAATCGACGTCTTCCTTGTCGCTGTAATGTACTGTTAGATGACTATCGGCAAATCAGTTGCAAATCAGTTGCAAATCAGTTGCACAAATTAATCCATTCAACCTACCTTGAAAGGCAAGGCAAATGCTCGGTCTTTCGTGAAGATCGCGTAATTTAGTATTATCCACCGCAAAGAGTCGAAAAGCTGACGCCTCGAACTCGTTTAAACCCTTCGTCAGAGCGATTAGAGGAATTGTGGGTTGTGTGTGGCTTTATTTGCAGAAAATGGAGCTACGCTATTGGTGGGAATATGGTGAGGAGAAAAAAAAAAAAAATTTGTCGAATGAAAAGCGCTCGTTGATACGGTGGTGATCAAGAGCGTCGATTTGAAAGATAAATTTTTGTTCTAGAGTTTTGCGGCTTTCCAAACTGCCCAGATGAAGGGAAAGGCCGGAAACTGCCATATGCTACTTCAGGAGCCTAAGTAATGGGCTCCTGGCTGCTAGTATGATTCGGAAGATTAGAGTGTCTAGTGACTGGTTTGGATACGTCCTTCTCATTTCTTTCTACATCGCGGACGTGTTCTCGGAATTTGTCATCTAGTTTTACCAATGTACAACTTTTTTTGCAATAAGTAGAGGTTATGCAGATTTTTAAGGTGCAAAATAGCTTTCAATAAGAACTACTCCGGTGTCAGCTATTCGCTAGTTTTCTCTCTCTTCCTCCATAGTATTAATCTTCCCCTCCAAGGCTATCTCGTTGCCAGTCTATGAAGTAATTAACGATCCAGTCGAAGGCAGCGGCACCAAGAGAGCCACTTCCAGAAAGGATCCTTTCGAATACCACCCTGATGGTTCCTCTAGCGTACCTCATCATGACATCTCTCAGGTTTTCTCTTACTGAAGGAGGGACGGGGTTGATGCTGGGGAAACTCTACGTTGGGCCTCTCTACCCATGATCAGTGCCTATCGTAGCTGAGCGTAGACGCAGATGTGACTCCGGGCTTATTAATATCTCCACCATGAAAACACTGGTAATGAGGCGGCGATCAGAAGCGGTGTGAAAACAGGGTTTTGCCTTCACAAATGAACGGACGGACGGGGATAACTCTTAAAACTCTTGTGGGTAAAGGCTCTCCTTGGGGGCACTCGCTGGCTGCGGGAAGGTAACCGGAATCTATTACGGCTGCTGACTATCCTTGAGAGAATGACTAACAACAACAGGGTTGGCTCCAACGTAGATTTATTCCGCAAGCTCGACTACAATTTTGACCAGAACGGACCTGGCCAGGGCTGGTTCGACCCCGTTCTCTTCCTCACTTTCTCACCCAACTCCTAAGCTTTACAGAACAGTCCTATTTAAACCTAACGTACATGGATAACGTAATGTCATGAATAATCTAAAGGATCATGTAATCTACTAAACTATTGGCTTAGTAGGAATTTCGCCTTTTACAATATTAATTACTTTTAAAGAGTTCCGGTGGATAACAGTTACACAAAAGGACATGACAGGTGGCTGTTACAGTTTAACACTAACAACAACTGTTTACGGGTGACTGAAGGAGAACTGGTAGCGTTTACGCTTTGCTGATCTAAGCTTTCTACGTTGAATATTGTATTTTTGAAGCGTAAGCATGAAAGAACTCGATAACTAAAAATCCTATCGTTACAGCGGTGTCACCATTTTGATCGCAACGGCTACGATCACCTTGGACAGCCCATTTTAGCGAGTTCTTCATTTCGAGGTTTTCAACGTACATAAGAAACGGAATTTTCTTAAAATGGGCTCTTTTCATCAAAGTAAGCGGTCAGATCGCAAGCGATACATCGTGGAAGTAAGGTGAGGTATTTTTATTGAGAATTTGACGTATTTTTTTATTCCTTAAAGCGATCATAAATATTCCCATACAAACTCTTACAATTCCGCCATAATTTTTATTGCGTAAGATGATCATCTCACAGCTGGAGCTTGGGCCGCCTGTGATGTCACGCTTAAAGAAATACGTAGTGTAAACAAAAATACTCCCTGTAGCACACTTCAAATCTCAAAACTTTATATTCGTTTACGTTTGCAAACAGCCTTCAAAACATTGGTTGCTTTATTGCCTGATATGAAATGTTCACCATAATATGACAGCGACTTTAACTTCAGTCGAAAGATCAATAAGCATAATATTTTCAATAAAATTCTAGTTCTTCGGTGAAAAATCGCTGGCAAGCGTGCAAAAAGTTTCGGCTGCCGCCGGCAGCTGGCTGTTTGCTTGAACCCTGTGTAATTTATCATTTCTCTGTCTAGATGACAGTCAGTACCTGTAAGAGCATTTCCATAAAGGGATAGTGAGACCAGAAGATGATAAATAAAAATTTTAGTTCACATTTTAAGAATACACCAGTCTCTATAAAAAAAAAACCCAATAAATTTCGAATTTTCTTTCTGCAGACAAACTCGATCCCTAATCCGCAGCAATTCTCTTGTTCAGATCTTTTTTGCATTACATCTGATAAATACTCTATGAGCTTAACTTTCACAAGCACCAAGGTAATTTGATATCAACACTTAGCATAACAATATTTTTCAATTTGCGTAGGAAAGCATTAAGATGATAAATTGACGAAAATCTGACAGCGTGCGTCATTTGTAATTTGCACTCATGTTACAACTTTGCACTCGTGATCTCGCGTTACATTAAAAAAATTACTCGTTTCCAGACAATCAGAAGTGCGTGATGTTTTCATGTATATTACTACAGAACGAATTGGACAACACAAATTCCTGTTATCAATTATTGATGACCATTGCAATTTCCGAAAAAAAACTCATTATGAAGTTTATTTGAGAAAATATCTATGGTAGAGGCATTGTCTGATTACAACTCTATAGAATAATTAATATAAATGAACAGCTTATGCGCGAGTCGCGTTTGAGGAAATTGTAATGGTCATGATTATGAACAGAAATTTTGAGTTAGATAGTCGTGAATCTACTCACCTCGGCTGTCTCTGTAAACAAAGTATGATCCTCTTTCGCGAGATTTTCACCAATAAGTGCATTGGTCAAATGTGACTTTCCTACCCCTGTCTTGCCACATAGTAGGATGGTCATTTCTTTCCGATCTGATTTCAAAAACTCTTGTAGCTGATACTTGCAACTATCATCGCCAAATATCAACTCCTTGGCCTCTTGATGGCCATTTAAGCTGACTCCGGGAGGGGACCCGTCTTCATTCTCAAAACCTAACATTCCACAAAGAAAAGAAAGCAAAGTGCACCGCGTTATTTTAATGATGAAAGAGCCTGGATTGAAATTTTCCTTGTTTTGCTCTAGGACCTCTCTGAGCGTCTTAGCACGATAAAACATTGACCTGATAGAAATGATACTTCGTATGTCTGATATATCTTTTGAGTAAAAGGTATCGCAGCAGCCCCAGCGCTTAGGGGTGGAATTCCACCCATCATTTCCGGAAGAGTATTGCGTTACTTCCGACTCTTTCCATATTTGGTCTGTTTGACGTTGACATGTTAAACGAATCATGTAGCGAGGTTGGTGAGCGACATTTGAAAATACTACACAACGCTAATTTGACTTTTAAAGTTTCACCGTTAAACATGGCTTCATCGTCTAAGCGTGCGCGTGTGAACCTTGTCTCCGCTGAAATTATGTTAGAGAAGATCTTTAATGATGAAAACTCCGCTGATGGGATGGACAGTGGAGAAGAAAGTGATCTGGACCGGCAGCTAGAAAATGAGAGTGGGGAATCGAGGTGAGAAGTCAATAAAGGCAATGGCGAAGTGGTCGCCATCGAACATGTAGTCTTGAGATGCGAAGTCGTTCGCCTCAGGTCGCCCTTTTGTGTTTGATTCTTGTGCATTTCTTCAAATTTGATTAAAATTTGACTTAAGGGACTCTGAAAATCAGCAATTTACGTTACGAGCATGTTTTTAGCGATGAGATGCGATGCGATTCAAGCTATTTGGAAGCGTGGTTCGATCAGCTGTTACCATGGAGAAATGCATTTTTCGGTTGCGTCCGTTGCGTGCGATTCGGTAACGATTTGGCGATTTAGTTTAATACAGATTTTTCATTCGGTTAATTTTGACTGACTAACGCAATATAAACATTTTACTTATGACAGTTTTAGCGAGGGAGAAGTTGAAGATGACGAGCGGCCGGAGGAGGCTAGCACATCCACTAAGGAACCCATGGCTCCTGGTAAGTGAAATATTTCCACCCGGCAAAATTTAGAATAACAAGTATAATTTTCGAATGCACATACCATAGAGTAACGTAAATTTTATTAGGATATCAGTATATCGATGTTGAGGATAACTGATTTATTTACTGAAAATTATATTTTTGTTTTACAGTTCAAAATGACTAAAATGAAACACGCATGATTCCCTGTAACTCTGAGTTTCGTGCCTACGCACTTGTCAGACAGATTAAACCTGTCTGACGAGTGCGTAAGCACGAAACTCAGAGTTACAGGTAATCATGCGTGCTTCATTTTAGTCATTTTGAACTGTATTTCGCTCTACACTCATGTGTATTGAGCACTTTCCAACAGCATTTGCTACAATTTCCCACAATTATTTTTTGTTTTAATGTGTAGTTGCTGGCCCCTCTGCTACTTCTACTGCTGCCTGTCCAATTCCCCCTCTCAATTCTGCCGCTCCTCTTGGTGAGTAAATGTCTTGAGAGGAAGAAAATATTACTTGGTTTATCAAACCTTATCTATAGGATCTATGGACTTTATCAACAAAATTAAAATATTTGTTATGTTTGTGTAGGTCCTGGAAGATTCCATGGTGCTGATGCTGTTGGTGTTCCTGCTTCTCGAGATCGTGGTGTTCCTGCCACTCGAGGTCGTTCAAGTGGTTCGGCTGGCCGTAGGGTGTGCGTGGTCGCTTTTCGTGCTCCTGCTCGTGCCCCTTTCAAATCTTATAATGATCCTGATGTAAGCAATCCTATTCCTCCTTTTACTCCTTCAAGGCCAGCTGGAATCCATTTTGAGCAGCCTCAACTCAGGAGCACCATGAAAAAGGCGGTAGAGTTTTTTAACCTATTTTTTACAATTGAAATGATAAACAATATAGTTGCACATACAAATAGTTATGCTTGGGAGCATATATTTTCTGGGTCCCATCCGAGTTATACAAGCCCTGATGGTAGTTGGAAAGAGACCACAGCTGATGAAATAAAGCGGCTGATTGCTCTTATCATTTATATGGGGCT